TCAAATTCAAAAATCTACTTTTGTTTGAAGAGATTTTTTAATGCATTTTGCAAACTGCTTTGGAAGCTCCTTCTCTAGAGGTGCACAGCTTTTAACAAAAGCTAGAATTCGGAACGCTATGAAACAAGCGTTTGCGTAACCTGCGTTGCAAAATCGAGGCGCAACAGCAGAGGTATCAGCGGAAGAAGTAAAAGAATGCTAAGGGGTTTAATACTAGATTGTGTGGAAGGAACGATGAAACAAAAGGTGTAAGGGGTTTTGTGAAGTTTGGGAATGGCATAAATTAAATTTGTTGCTTTTTTTTTTAAATTCGTAAGTTAAACTTGTTACCTTTTTCGGCTGATCATTTCTTTCGTTTCTCTTCTTCAGGTTGCATTCACCAGGCAAAACGTACGAATTTTGGAAAGCGCTGACCATCCGTTTTGGTCATACATCAAAGGATCGATCAGAATCAACAAGCGTCGTTTCGTGCTGCACGACCAGTATTTCCGAGATCCCAGGTACCGATTATTCCTGCTTGGTCGCATAACGAAACTTCCCGAAGCTAGCTCTCGATCGAATTTGCCCCACAGGACAATGATGTGATCAGTTTCACTGTGCATTTTGTTCTCTATAAAAATCCAGTAGCTCGCCTGGTTTTCACATGAAAGGAGTGCCACTTCGACCATATTTTTATGTTCCGTCGCATCTGAGCTTACGTTTCAATTCGGTGTCCCAATTCCTTTTCCCATCTTTTAGTGCATGCTACTGCTTAAGCTAACCTGTTTTTGTGCTCTAAATAAATTCCGCTTCCCCGTGTTGAACATGCGGCTGTATTGATTCGCCCCTTTTCGTAATTTTTACTCATTTTTCCCTCCTCCACAAGCAGTTTCGGTCTTTCCATAGCGCAGCAGAAATGGCCACTGCCTGCGCTTGTTTCGGGTATGTTGTCAAAGCATAAGTTTCATCCTTACATTGTTATGTTGTCTGGTAACGCTGAAATACGGTTGAAACTTTATCGTGATGGAGTAGTGCAGTCTGTGGCATGGGTATTATGCTGAGGTGAGGGAATTGGGAGGGAGATGCCAAGCCTAAAACTACGATTGTGCAGGGCGAAAATGGGGCGATTTTTCCAGGTAACTGCCAATAGTCGATCAGCTTGGCCAGGTTCACTTGGTAAACTAAGAGAACATTTAACTGTAAAACATGTGATTTTAATTATAAGATTATAAATTTTTTTCGCTTTTTTTAAGGGTATGATTCAGGAATGCAGTTGCATTCCTGCGTGTTTACAGTTTTCTCCGTTTTTTGTCTCCCCTCTTTTATGTCCGTAAAAACCTCGTTTCCAATTTATCTCTTTCCTATCCTCTTTCAACCCCTTTCTTCACATCCCCTTTTCCCTTATCATCTTTTTTTTACCACTCTTTTCTCATTTCAAAGTCCCTCCAAAACCACTACATCGTCTTACGAGGCAGACCTTAAGTTCCTTTATAAACCACCCATTTCTTTCATCGGAGCCTCATTTATCTTGGATGGCCTCCAGCTTCAACGACCGACATCGTAATCTCGTTAGATACACCTTCCACGGACCCATCGTCGACCGCCAACATCGGGACCCTGTCACCTTCGTCACGAAACCAATGGATATTCGACCTTTCGGGAGTCCCTGCTAAATTGCTGCTAAACACATATTTGGTTCCTGAAATCCCTCGCCTCAGCAAGCCATCGCATTCATCAGACCACAGGTGCCATGCACTGTACTATTCGTACCTTTTGCATTGGCACATAATATGTCACTTAATGATTTATAGATTTTGCAAAGTATGCTGTTCTCATTATAAAATTATGTTTTTCTTTTCTCCTTTTTACCTTACGAGTCAGAATGCCATTTGCATTTCTGCGTGGTAACAATTTCCTGCGTTTTCGTCCTCCTTTTTTTTTTTTTACACCTGTAAAAACCTAATTATGTATTCATCCCCTTTATCCCGTTTTACTCGTATTTTGGAATGCACTTGCATTCCCAGACGTTCCACTTTTGTTATTTTTCCTTTCAATCCCTTTTTTTAACCCCCTCAAAAACCCTTATTTCCATTTTCCCTTTTCACATTTCACTTCGCCTTAATTACCATTTTTATATTTTCAATCTCTCCAAAAAACTATCACATCCTCGGTTGGGGCGGTTCTTACACTCTTTATAAACCTCCCTACCATTCTTCGTGGTCTCAGCTTCTCCTTCAGCTTTACGACGGCCTTCAGTCTCCTCAACCGACATCATCCCCGGCTGTTCAAGATTTTTGGGACTCGACTTCGTCTGGTACACCTCTGGGCCTCATCGACCATTCTCTGCTATAACGACTCTTGCTCGGCAAGCTCACAGGCTCGATAGATTTCAAGCGCCACATTTCGTGCTGTTTATTTGTTGTTTGCACGATTCATCATCAGTAAGTCATAAACTTGATTTTGCTTCTCTGCAGTGCGCGTACGCTCAGAGCACCACGCCACACAGCGATCCACACACGTAAACACTCATCCCATAAAAATTTTTACTCTTTTTGTTAGAAATCACGTAAGGAACAATTGCGTCACTGTGATGCAACACTCTGGTCCCTGGTTCAGCTGACAGCAGCTGCAGCTGACAGCAGCAAAAGCTGACAGCAGCTTTTGCTGCTGTCAGCTACACTCTGGTCCCTGGTTCAACCTTTGAACACCCTACTCCGTTAAAGTTTTTCAGCCTTAGTGATCTTGACTACTGGGGTATGGAAACTCTTCTCCCCATCTCGGGGATCCAGAGTCACTCCTTACTACTTAACCCTGTTCTGGAGAGCTTCGGTTCCCCAGAACCTTACCGTTTTCATCGTATTACCTTTTATTATTTTACGTATTTACGTATTTATAAATATTTATGACTAGGTGTCGGGCATGCCACTAATTAAAAATATTAACATTTAGGGTCGCGATAAGTGGCATCGACTACTTTCTTGTTGATCTTTCGCCTCAAAAAAAAAAAGTTCGTGACGTAGTCATTCTTCTTTTTCTCATAGCCCTTTTCTGTTCCTGTAATGGAAAAAGTTGTGGATATCTACTTCCTTGATGTCGCTCTCCCCATGAAGACAGGAACGACGACGCACCGTAAGCATGGATTTTGGTTGGTCGCTTTACTCCGTTAAAGTTTTGCAATCTTAATTATCTATGAACACTGGGGTATAAAAACACTCCTCCCCATCTTCGGGATGCCACAGCTAGTTCAACCCACATTAGAAGCTACTGTCTTATCCATGTTCTGAGGAGCTTCGGCTCCCCAGAACCTCGCACCTTTTTTTGTATTACCTTTCATTATTTTACGTATTTATAAATATGTATATATGATTAAGTGTCTTGTACACGCACACACACACACAGGGCACGCCACTAGTCTAGAATATTAACTTTTAGGGTCGCGATAAGTGGGATTTAAAGAAACTGGGCCATTTCAGGCCATTTACTCCGCTGCACTGCACGAGGCTTTTGAAATTTTTATGGCATACTTTTGTTGATTTTGCTGTTGAAATGGTCGCCGCATTTGGGTAGCTTTGTGTTTTTTGGTTTTGTTTTTGCATAGGCTGCCTCCAGAATATTCGTTCTCGAATTTTTTTTTTTTCGAATGTCCGGGCAGCCCATCCTCCCTTAAGATGACGCAACCTTTTAACACTTGGTAATCTCAGGTCGCTATTTTTATAATTGTCGGGCCCTCCGCTTCACTATTGAAACTCCAAATTATATTTTTAACATCCCATGTCATTCGGGGGCGATTTCCTTCAATTTTAATGTTTGGTAAAGTGGTGTTGCTTCAGTGATTGTTTTTTTTTTTTTTTTTTTTTTTT